CTACTGGGGGGTTTTGTTTTCATTTTTTCCCTTCGTTTTTTGGCTGGGGCTCAGCTTGACTGTGGGAAGTGGCTGGATCACAGGGGAACCTGCCTGGACCACGTGCCCACTCCAGCATCCTCCTCCTGCCCCATCCTCCTCCTGCCCAGCTCAGCAGCATCCTCCAGGGAGGCACTTCTGAGCCACGCTGGGATTGTTTCAAAATGTAAAGCTGCTTGATTAATTAATCTGGCAGGGTGAGATGACCCGTGCCTTCTCCAGGGAGAGCATCATCTGTGCATCCCTCACCTTCAGCTCTGGCTGTGGACACCGTTTCCAGAGAATCTGAGGGATTTTAACAGTGCTGGATTCAGAGGATGGATGCTGTGGATGCTGTTCCCACTGCGTGCTGGGAATAAACTGGGCAGGGATGGGGCTGGGTTAGAAAAGAAATTAAAAGAGAAAATAGAAATATCCCCCCTGGATGGATCCCTTGGCTGACCCTGCTTGGCTGCAGAGGTGGGAAGTGAAACCATCCTGGAAGCCTGGAAGATCTCTCACTGTGCAGCCTGTGAAGGGCAATGCTGGGTGGTCTGTCCTGCCCAGGAACGGGCTGGATACACTATGGATTAATATCCAGCTGTTCTCACCCACTGGAATATCCCATCCCAGGATGTGCCCACTGTAGGAGGAGATTCCTGCCAATAGAAGAGGGATTTTACCAGAAACACCAGCAAAGAAAATCAGGGGGTTATCCCAAATACCAACACATCCAGCCTGGCCAGGACTAACCCCGGGGTCCCTTGGGCCAGAGGATGGACACTGGAGCGGCCAGAGACCCTACTAATTGCAGTTACCCCCCACCTCAAAGGGCTGGTGCATGGCTATGGGGTAAAATGTGGAAAATGGGTTTGGGGGAAACCACTGCCATAGACTGTGTGTGGGACAGGTGCCCTGGGAGGGTACAGACCCCACTGGGGGCTGTAAGAGGGTCTCCCAAGCCCAGGGACACCCCAGTAGTGCTGCTGGGACACCTCCATTCCCCAGGGAGGGGCTGCAGGTTGCAGTGGGGGTTATTAACACTCCCCCAAGTCTCTCAAACAGCTCTACAAGGAGCTGGGGCCAAGGACTGTGCAGCTCCAATGGGGCAGGGTCGGACCCAGCCCGAGAAACGTCCTGCAAAGGGGCAAAAAGGGGGGGATGGAGAAAGAAGGACCGTGCCAAAAAAAGTCAGCTCCAAATAGCAAAGGATCCAGACCCAAACCCTGGAGCACAACAGCCACGGGCACACTAAATCAGCCACAGCCGGGGACGATCAGCTCCCATCCCACACCTGATGCTGCTCAGCCCTCGGGCTGGTTTGCAGCCCTTCCTGCCCTCCCTCCTCCTCCTCTCGGGGTCACAGCCACGAGTCTGCTCGGTCGAGGGCTCCTTCCTTAAGATTTAAGGTCCGTGGGAATGCGGGGGCTCTGCTCCTGGCTCTGCACTTGCAGTACCGCCGGGGAACGCCGAGGCTGCGGCGTTATTTGGGGTGAGCAGTGCCGGCCGTAAATCTGCCGAGGTGTTGGGAAGATGAAGTGTCGGGGACAGTGTGACCTGTGCGGGGTGACGGTGCAGCCCCTCCTGCTTAAAGATGACCCTGGTGGGTGTGGGGAGCTGAAAACCTCTATGACCTTTTGGCAGAGTACACAGGGTGCTGCTTTTTGTTGCTTTGTTTAAAAAAAAAAACCAAGGCAATAATGTGATACCAAACGCCTCTCTGCCTTGATGAGCCAGCACTGAGCCGAGGGCACCATCCTGGCGCTTCCCGGTATCCGAGGGAGCCGGGATGAGGATGGAGCTGGGGTGGGTTTGGGGGTAGTTGCTTAATTTTGGTTTTTCTTTATTTTCTGTGGGTGTGGGGGTGTCCTGCACAGGTTCACTGGCACCCCAGGAGCTACACGTTTCTCCTGCTGCAGAAATGGGCTGAGAAATGTGGGATGATGCCCCTGGGGCTGGTCCAGGCGGGATGGGGTGAGCCGAGCTCCAAAGCCAGAGTCCCCCCAGTGCTGTCAGTCATTGCGTGGCAGGAGCTGGAGCCCAAATCTCCGGGGCTTTGTCTTGGAGTCCATATTGAACTACTGGGGGCGAAAAGGGGGAAGGAAAGGAAAGGGAAAGGAAAAGGAAGGGATGCCCACAGACTTGCAGGTGTCCTGCAGTGGTGCTTTCTTGGGGGGTTGGGGATGGAGCAGGAATGAACCCAATGCTGTGGGATGAGAGGTCACTCCTTGCCTCTGGCTTTGACTTTTCCCTCGTGCCTCAGTTTCCCCAGTTCAGGGCTGGGCTCAGTGTATCCAACCTGGCCCATTGTAAATGTAATTCCTCCCTTTCAACCTTGTTTATCCCAGATTCTGAGTCCCCCTGGGCTCTCCCAGCTGGAAGTGATGGAGTCACCCCACTGCTGCAATTCCCCCTGGAGCCCTGAGGGCACTGCACTGACCCCCTGGGAACACAAGTGGCTGCTGAGCCCCTGAAACGGGAGGAACAACCCAAAAATAGCCGAGAGCTGGAACAAGCTGGAGTTTGAATGGGAACTTTCTCCTCCCGGTGCGACGGCTGCTCCTCCGGGATGGAGACATGAGGAAGGACCAGGGATGGGTGATGAGCTTTTGTGGCTCCTTCCCAAAGGATGGGACCTCCAAGAGGGAGGCATTGCCTTTGGTGTGGGATCTGGGGGCTGGAGCTGGCGTGGGGCCACCCAGGAGCTGGGACTGGGCCCCCTGGGAGCTGTGGGGAGCTGCTGCTGCCTCCTACGGGGCCGGGACAAGGGCTTGGGCTTTGGGGTTTTATTTATTTGCATCTGCATTGCCATGGTGTTTGTTTGTCTAATATTTTCCCTTGCTTGTAGCCAGGCAAAATGCCACAGCAAAGTTACCCCACACACACATACACCCTGCTCTGGCTGTCAGGGGGGTAACCATGGGCTTGGGACACCCACCCCGAGGGGCTGGAACAGGGGAGCTTTAAGGAAAAGCCTTTCCAGGTGTGGTGGTCTCCTGGCTGACAGCCCCAGGGCTCGGTGGCTGAGCAAAGGGTCGTGGTGGGTGTTTGCTGTCCCTGTGCTTGTCCCCCGGGAAAATGAGCTGAGGACACAGTTGCCCTGGGAATTTTGGGTGGGGCTGCAGTGTGCCCTGTGCTGGGGGTGTCCCTTCACTGGTGATGGCAACGCTCCTGCCCAGCAAACTGTCGTGTCTTGGGTGGATGGGCCGTGTGGGAGCAGGTCCCACCGATGTCCCTGCAGGGTGTCCGTGACAGGGATGGGCTGGAGCCCCTTGGGAACCATTGTTAGCCCAGTGTCTCCTCACCACGAGGATCCCAGGGCTGATGATGTTCTTTCAGGACACACTCCCATATTGCCACGGGAGCTGGGAGCTGTGGGATGGACTGGGATCAGCTTGGAGCTCCTCCGTGGGCAATGTTAAGGTGGGGACACAGCTGATGCCTTGGCTGCTGAGCAGGAGACTGACACCCCAAAGCACAGCTGAGCAGAGGGATGAAGCCATTTCTTGGTTGTTTTACCCCAGACACGCTGGTCTGGGGGCTGTGGTCTGTGCCTGGCTGTCACATCACACCAGTGCACTGTCTGGAGGCACTGGGAGCTCCACAAGCCCCAGCTCCCCGAGACAGGGCTGGTTTTGGCACGACCCTGATGGGGTTGGACAGGGCAGGAGCCACAGCCCGTGCTGGCCCAGGGAGATAATGTGACACACTCAGCTCTGCTGCAGAGCTGGGAGTAAATTATGGGAGTAAATCCTGACCTTGACACGTTACGGGAAAGCAGCTCCAGTGGTGGCACATTCCCAACTCTCCAGGGTCGGTTTCTGGGGCTCCTTTGTAAGTTTGGCTTTACAGCATGTTCAGATTTAACACTTGGAGAGGCTTGGAAGCAAACAGGCCCGGGGCAGGGTGGGAGAGGTGATGGCTGTGTCCAGAGCTATGGGAATTCGTGGGGCTTTTAGTATCTGCCATGGGCCATGTCCCCCTTCCCTTTCTGCCTCTTGGGGAAACTGAGGCACGGGGGGTGGTACCACAGCAGCCCCAGGGCTGCTCTTCCCAGCCAGTTCCCAATCTCCAGCAGCCATAACTGGGCCAGCTGGCTTTTGTTCTCTGTGAGGCTGGTGGCCAAGATGCCCTGTCAGCTTTTTGCTCCGTGTTTCTGTCCCTCCTCAAGCTGCTGCAGCCAGAAAAAAAAATGAGATGGGACCAAAAAAATAGATGGATGTGACATTTCCTCCCTGCTCCAGTTCAGTCATGTGCCCTCGGGCTGGGCAGCAGCTGCTGAGCACCAACCTCACCTGGGTGAATTCTGGATCTCAAAAAGGAGGGGTTTTTTATCAAGTGATGCTGCTTTAGGAAAAACTTGGACTCTGGGGATCCCTTTTACCTCACCTGGGTGAATTCCATAGCTGCAAAGGGAGCTTTTATATCAAGTGATGCTGCTTTAGGGAAAACTCTGGGAATCCCTTTTGGCCCTTTTGGAGGGGCTTTGGTCTTGCACGTGGCCCCACTGGGAGCTGTTTGAAGGGTCTGAAGGCACCAAGAGCCCAGGAGAATGCTGGTGGTGGAGCCTGGCACAGGGCTGGGAGAGCCATAGCTGCATTTGGGGGGGCAATGGGTCTGGTTTAGGCTGGAAAAACCAAATTACCACGAAGCCAGGTTGGGGAGAAAGATGTGGAGGAGGGTGAGAAGAAGGAAGAAAGGCTTCAGGGCCAGGGAGAGAGTTTTGTTTGAAAATTTATTGAAAAATTCAATACAAGAAGCAATACTGAACACTTAGGTCTGTCTAAACGCTACAGCAACTTTCCCTTTGATTCACTATGAAAATCCAAAATAACAGCTCCCATCACTAGTTGATCTAGAAAGATTTGCCAACTTTAAAAGTTACTATTTTTATAAAGAAGAGTGTAAATGCCTACCCTAGACAATTCACAATTGCCTTAAAAAAATTTTACAAAGCTCCTTCATCTTCTCAACTAAATTATTTTATTTATTTTTACTCTTTTTTTTTCTTTTTTTTTTTTTTTACAAGTTGCACCTCTAAGGCTGGGACACTACCACCTCTTAAGGTAATTGTACAATTAGGAAAATCAGCAAACCACAGTTTATTAAAACCAGAAATCAGTCAGTCCTTTGCTAACACATCTCTGTTGGTCAGGGATTGCTATCGGGCAACTGGAGCCACCGTTCCAGTTTAATGGAGGAGAACAGGAGCTCCTTGCCTTCCTTTCTATAAAAACATTCATTCATATATAAATAGCTTCCATATAATGTATATTATACAATCAAGACAGTCTCTGGGTGAATTTGTGGAGTGGGAAGAGCTGGGAACATTCATATAAATAGACCTTACTTAGCCGGTTTGTCCCTTGAGCTGACACAGCACTGCTCAGAGCCAAGGATCTTAAATCCCACTGGAGGTGGAAGGGGTGTGGGCAGCCCCACCACGGCCCTGGATGAGGGTGGAAGAAGCTTCTTCTGCTCTTAACTTTTATCTTCTTCCCAGGCTGCTGCTGCTCCCATCCAGCTCCCGGGCTCGGGCGCTGCACGTGTCGGCGGGAGAGGGTCAGTGGGGAACCCCCGGGGTCGGACAGCAAAGGGCAGACGAGGCCATGACTTGTTTAAAATACTCAAGGAGAAGCAAGAACTCTGCAGGGGGGGGAGTGTGAGAGTGGACAGCCTGGAAACGGCCACCCAAAATCCAGGGGAAAACTAAAATATGAGCCCTTAAAAAGGGACATCCGCAGCCACGGCGGGCAAGTCCCTTTGGGAAGGAACCACCTCTCCTGCCAGCAGGTTTCTCACCCCCAGAAATCCCCTGCTCAGGGCGTTTTGTCCCACTCATTGTGCTCAGGGCACAGGACACCCCAAGGGAACAACCAGGGACCCCTCAATTCTTGTGGCAGCCAAGTGCCTTTAAGTGCTACGGACAAACTTAATTTATCACACTGGCTCTGCCTGGTAAAGCCCAGAAACCCTCTCAGCCACTACTCCATGTGCCCATTCCCTCCTCAGGTGGCTGCTGCAGGTGAGAAGGAAGGACTGAGTGGGGAAAAAAGCTAAATTCCCAGAAAAAGGACAGTGCCAGAGGGTGCTCAGCATGAGGGGTGATTAAGGCAAGCGTTACCCAACTAAGTTGAGGACAGCAGGGACACAGACCTGCTCCAAGGTCTGCGTGGCAGAATAAGGAAGGAAGGGGCTGTTCAGACAGGTAGAGGAAGACTTAATCTCTACACTACAGCTGTGGAGCCCAGGACTCCCTAAATCCCCAGAGCAGGATGCCCTGTGGAAGGCAGAGCATCCCGGGAGGGGACCCCGCACCCGGAGCAGCCCAGAAGCAGCTGCTGGCATGGGAAGGCTGGAGGCTGAGCAGGGGCCAGCAAGGCTCTAGGAAAGCCAAAATCCAGCAACTCCAGCAGAGTCTCCAATCAATACTGACAACTTAATTAAAATTGCACCTGAATCTGAGAAGCTGCAGCAGCCCTAGTGCAGTTCCAACAGCAAGTTGTTGCAGCCTGAGCTAAATCCAGTGACTTCTGAAACACATCATTCAAATTTGAAACTGGAGAGAGCTTTTTCTTTATTGCCATTTTCTTCCCATCCTCGCCTGAGGAGCAGCAGAGCACTCCCTGCCCTCAGCTACCAATGTGCCACACACTATATATATATATATATATATTTATACATTTAAAAAAAAATCACAACTTTAAAGTGGACCAAAGTGTTCACAAGTGTCTGCACAGACTCTTTACAAAGCTTGGTTGGTTGTTTTTTTTCTCCTTTTTGAATTTAAATGCTGGAAGGACAAACCCAGGCATGATTAGGATATTCCCACAAAGCTCAGAGAGCAGCAGTGGGAGCTCAGCCCCTGGTGCAGGGGAGGGAAGCACATCCAGCCCCTGGAATCATGTTTTTGGGTCACCCCTTCCACGCTGGAGATCATCCTGGGGGTCTCTGAGCTCAGCCTAAAGCTGCAGACACCCACCCTGGGATTTCATTCCAGCAAGGGGGTCATGAAGCCAAACCCAGACCCCCAGGCCAGCGTGGAAGAGGGAATGTCAGCCTTCCCATGTGGTTTGGCTCTATCACGACCAGCAACACCTGACACCTCCTAAAATTCCTTGTTCAGCCTCTCCAAATACAGCTTACAGGCCTAGGAAGGATTGTCTAAAGGAGTTTAAATTAAATGATAGTAGGATACACGCCCTGGGAGATGGGTAACATGTTCAGCTTTAAATAGCACTGCGAGGGGAGGAAAAAAAACCCAACCCATGACTTACAAAAAAAAAAAAAAAAAAGAAAAACCTCCCTAATTTAAAAATCATGAACACAAACAAGTGTAAAACTATGACACTGAAAAAACTCAGTTCCTGTGAATGCTGCACAAGCCTACCTTAATAGCATCCCGAGTCCAAACACCTTAAACACACACTTCTAAGGGCTTTTTTTTTAATTTAATGGCATCTAGAAAACACAAACAGGGCGGGGAGCACTCGGCAGAGACACACGGGAGGAGGGCGAGATGCTACCACAGTCCTCTTTTAAAGCTCTAAAATTCACAGTATAAAGATACTTGAAGCAACTTTTCCAGTATTCCTTAAATCTAGTCAGCTATTCAGATGTGTGCATAGGCTACACCACAAAACCCTACTGTGATCACACACTGGGGGCTGGATCCCAACGGGGAGGGAGCTCGGGGGGGGCAGCTCCCGAGAGCTACGGGAATAATCCGGAGGCAATCGGAAATGCTGCACAAAACTGAAGTCTTGACTCTTTAAACTGACTCTCCTGGCAGGAGGGACCCATGGCTTTGGGAAGGCAAGTCCAGATCCTGCACTGGGAATATTCACAGAGGTGGTTTTAGCTCCGTTATCCCGGACGAGGCGGAGGGAATAGGAGATAAAACAGGGGGCAGCCCTGGAGCCCTGTGGGGTTTTTGGGGTGGGGCTGTGTCTGAAGAGGCTTTGCATGAGAGGGAATGCAAAATTGAAAACCTGTAAAAAATATTCAGTACAGTTAGAAATATGGCAGATTTCTGTCACAATAGATATAAAATAAAAAAAAACAGAAACAAAAAAAAAAACCCAACAACAAAACAAAACCCTATATCCAATAGGATCCAGTGGAGTCTGGAAAAATCCCAATAAAATGTCAAAGCGCAACTCCTAATAAATGATATGAATGTCTCTGAGTGTCAAGTCTGAAATCCGAGGTCTTTGTGCTCCAGGTAGTTTCTTGGTAGTTTTGCTGGGTTTCTTTTTCCTGGTGTTGTGGCTGGCAGGAACGTTTCCTAGGGAGAGAGGAACAGGGTAAGTTACAGCAGCCAACAGCAGCTTCCTGGGAGGCAGAGGAACCTCCTTCCCAAAAGCAGATGGAGAACAGGTGAGTTCTCCCATCCATGGCAGGTGGGAAGTGCCTAAAGGGGCTCCAAGAGAGCTGGAGAGGGATCTGGGACAAGGGATGGAGGGACAGGACAAGGACAGGACAAGGGGGAATGGCTTCCCACTGCCAGAGGGCAGGGTTAGATGGGATATTGGGAAGAAATTCTTCCCTGTGAGGGTGGGGAGGCCCTGGCACAGGTTGCCCAGAGAAGCTGTGGCTGCCCCATCCCTGGAAGTGTCCAAGGCCAGGTTGGATGGGACTTGGAGCGACCTGGGCTAGTGGAAGGTGTCCCTGCCCATGGCAGGGGTTGGGACTGCATGAACTTTAAAGTGCTTTCCAACCCAAACCATTCCAGGATTCTTTGATCACCAGTGTGGGGTAGGATGGACTTTACAGCACTGAGGCACAGGCAGAGCTCCAGGATTCCTCAAGCAGCTCTTTCCTAAACTCATCAAAAAGGGATCTTTCCAGGCAAACTGGGGTCCAGCTCAGGGGTTCCCTGGCACTGACACAGGCAGAGTCCATGGATCCCCAACAGCTCCGTGTGCTGCTGGTGCCTCAGAGGTGTTTGGGAAGGCAAAGCAGCCTCATGGCAGGAGCTGTGCAGCTTTTAACCAATTCTAGCTCATCTTCCCAGCAGGATTAGTCTGTATTTGGGCCTCCTTCATCAGCCTCACCTGATCTACCAGGACCAGCCTCAGCAGTGAACAATAATCATATTGTTCAATTGACCAGATTTAGCCAAGCCTCGTGTGCCCAGAGATCCACCCCCGTGCCCTGGGAGGGGAGCAGCCCCCATCCCTCCCTCCTGGGTGGTGTCTGTACTCACACAGCCTGGCTACTCCTCTGCAATCTCAGTCTCCTGGTGCACGACCACTTTGGTCACCGACATGTCCGGGTGCTGCTCCTTCGCCGCCTTGATCGCCTGTGCCAGGACCTGTGGGACAGCCAGGAGAGAACGGGGCAGAGTGGGTCAGAGCCCGGGGCAGAGCGTGGCACAGTGTCACAGCACAGGGCAGAGTGTCTCAGAGCACGGTAGAATAGGGCAGAACATGGCAGAGTGTCTCAGAGCACAGCAGAGTGGGGCAGAACGTGGTAGAGTGTCTCAGAACATGGCAGAGTGGGTCAGAGCACGGCAGAGTGGGGCAGAGTGGGTCAGAACATGGCAGAGTGTCTCAGAGGCCAGGTCACAGCCCGGCACCCACTCTCCCCAAGGGCACAAGAGCCTTCTTCTAACTCTGGGGAATGAAAAAGAATTTTACAGAATTACAGAATGTTAAGGGTTTGGAAGGGACCTTAAAGATCATCCAGTTTCAACTCCCCTGCCGTGGGCAGGGAGATCTCCCACTAGACCAGGTTGCTCGAGGCCTTATCCAGCCTGGCTTTGAATACTGGGCAACCTGTGCCAGGGCCTCACCACCCTCAGAGTGAAACATTTCTTCTTAATATCTAACCTAAATTTCCTCTCTTTCAATCTGTACCCGTTACTCATTGTCCTATCCCTACAGTTCCTGACAGAGTCCCCCTCCAGCTTCCCAGGAGGCCCCTTCAGATACGGGAAGGCTGCTGAAGTCTCCACACAACCCTCTCCTCTCCAGGCTGAACACATTCATAGAATCACAGAATATCCTGAGCTGGGAGAAACCCACAAGGATCATCCATTCAACTCCTGGCCCTGCACAGACACCCCAACAATCCCACCCTGGCCCTCACAGCGTTGTCCAAACCCTCCTGGAGCTCTGGCAGCCTTGGGGCTGTGCCCACTGCCCTGGGGAGCCTGGGCAGTGCCCAACCAGCCTCTGGGGGAAGAACCTTTCCCTGAGATCCAACCTGACCCTGCCCTGACACAGCTCCAGCCCCACTGAGCTCTGCCCTCAGTCTCCTCCTGTCCAGCTGAACAAGCCAAGGGCTCTCAGCTCCTACTTGTGTGGCCCCTCCAGACCCTTCACTGTCTTCGTGTCCCTCCTTTGGACACTCTCTAATAGCTTTAGATCTTTGTGGTGCCCAAAACTGCCCCCAGGACTTCAGCCACACACTTTGGTGACTTGTGGTGCCATTACATCATTTCTAAAAAGAAAAGCTGTTTTTTAAGAGTATCCCCATCTCTCCACTGGTAGCAGATGGATGAGAGCAATCAAGCAAAGCCTGTTTATTCTTCCAGCCAGTGTGATGAGCACATTTCAGACACCTCAGACATTTTCTGTTGGAATTAATAAACCAGTTCTTGTCATAAGAGTATTCTCCACCCCCACAATACTTGCAACTAAATTTAAATTCACAGTATAACTCTCTGATGACAAAATCATCACTTCCAACACACGCAAGAGGCCAGTGGGGCTGACTCATCACAAAGGTTTCACATAAAGCCAATGAGATTTAATGCAGGTGCTGAGTGCTCTGAAATTACTTCTGGCACTATACAGCAGCAACAGTGTTTCAAAGTTATAGGAAAAATAATTCAGATCAGCCAGATGTCAAGGAAAACTTTTATTTCACATTTTTATGGATTTTTTTTTTTTAAAGTGCCATTGTCCAAAAAAATTCTGGCATCAAAACTTTGCTGCCAACACCAGTTTCAGAACAGAACTGAGCTTTGCTGGCCCAGCTGCATAATGTCAAAAAGGAATTTATTACTCATATAGAATCACAGAATCACAGAATGGCCTAGGTTGGAAGGGACCTTAAAGCCCAGCCAGTTCCACCCCTTGTCATGGCCAGGGACACCTTCCACTAGAACAAGTTGCTCCAAGCCCTGTCCAACCTGGCCTTGGACACTTCCAGGGATGGGAGCAGCCACAGGCTAAAAAAATATCACTTTGGAAGTTTTATTTTTACCCCAGTACAATTTCCCTGGGTCAGTTTTTTAGTGACATTTTCTTTGGACAGGCACGAATGTCTCCTTCGTGTGCCAGCTCTGGGAAACTCTTTTGGATCACATCCACACTCCTACCTGGTCATGGTCTACATCTGCATCTCCTGTGATGACAATCCTCTTCTCAATCCGTGTCTCTGAAATGCCACCTTTTACAGTCTAGAACAGAAGGAAAAGCTGCTGTTAGTGTGGAAGTGCAGAGGAACTGGAGCTCACTGGGGCTGCCTGTCTAAAAGTATCCAAAAATAGCGTCACCAAACAGTCGTGCCATGGCATCAGAGTCACGGGGGAAACTGCTGCTGCTCAAAGAAAAACTGTCAAACAGTCATTTTTTTATAGCTGAGCCAGGGAAGAGCTTTTTCTCACAGTGCAGCTCTTCCTGTTGCCCCACAGGACAGTCAGAGCCCACCAACTCTGCTGCAATTAATGCATAATTCAGCCTTTACGTGGGCAACCCGGGCCCCTTGTGCTTCGTTTCAGGTATTAATCATATTTTTTGAAAGGAGCTTCCAAGAGCTTTTTTTTCCTATTATTCAGCTCTGCCCATCTGCTCCATCAGGCTGTTGTTTGAGCTGTTGTTTTACTGGTGTTACCTTGGTGATCTGGGTGGTGGTGGTGCTGCTGGTGGTTTCCGAAGTGATGGTCTGGGCAGTCAGCAGGATTCCAGGGTCTAAATCCCCATTGCCACCGTCTGTCTGTGGGACACAAGGACAGGCCATCAGTCCCTGAGCAGTGTGGACAGGAGCAGGGGCTCCCCATCACCAGAGCAGGAAGCAATCCGAGGACAGAAGCTCCTCTCCACCGTGGATCGTGGGACGCAGCAAGTCAACCTGTGCCCAGGTGCACGAGGGCTGGGCAGGGCCCTGAAGGCTGGAAGTCCCTGGACTTTTAAGGCTGGAAAAGCACAGGTCCACAGAATCCCCCAGGGAGGACCTGTAGCACCCCTCAGAGCAGGAGGGTGGAGATGTTCCCAAATCTGGGCACAGTGCTGGCCCTGCAGTGCTGATCATGCCCCTCCACACTTGGACCACAAAGGGAGACCAACACAGACACCGATCCCAAATTCCACCTGCCTGCATCCATGGAGATCCACAAAGCCAAGAGAACAACCTTGGTTCAGGAGGCACTTGTCACCCTTCCTCCCTTCTGACAACACCTTGCATATCCCTTGCTTGATCTCTGCAGAAGCAAGGAACAACCAGATATCTGATGAACCAGGAATAACTTTTAGAGCTGGTTCTTGGTTCCCCTCCTGCCCAACTCGACCGCTCAAGGTCTCCCAAAAATCCAAAACTAAGTCATCCTGGCCAGCTCATCCTGTCCATGTCCCCACTGGGCAGCATTCCCAGCTCGGCGGTGGGACAATATCCAGAGTTACCACAAGGTGGGACCATTTTCCACAGACCAAAGAGATCCCGTGGCACATCATATCCACTGCTCCCAGCCCGGGAGATGCACTTTTCATTTCCCAGTGGGAGCAAAACTCCTCTATTCATCTACTGAAGTCCAGGGCAATGCTCACCACCTTTGTCTGAACGACCCCTCTGCTTCTGCAACTGGGACAGGTGCTGAGCAGTCATGGGATTCCTCAAGAACCCCAAATTAGACAAGCATGGTCCACGGGATGTGGAAGGTGTCCATGCTAAATAAAGGCAGGGGGTGGAACTGGATGGTATTTAAGGTCCCTTCCAGCCCAAATCATTCTATGATTCTGTGATAAAACCTGGTTTAGACTGAGGATTAATTTTAACCTTAGCAATCAATATGACCTTTGTACACTGGCATCACTCCATTAACTTTTCCAGTTTCCAGTCACCACATCCCCAGTCTGGTTGTATTTTATACAGAACTTTCGGTGTTCAATAACCTTTTCAGGCTCAAAACCTAAAGGATTAGCAAATAATTTATAAACCAAGTTCTGAAGAGGCATAAACAGCAAAGGAAAACAAGACAAGACATCTCTTGCAGAAAGAAAGGTCAACTCAGGTCAACTCCATACGGTCCAATCTGCATCCCAAAGCCACCAGTGGCTGAAGATAAATTCTGTTTGCATGCACATCTTGAAAAAATAATTACTCTTCAGGGATAGCAAAACTGCTGCTCCTCTAAAATTACCAGATGCACCTGGAAACAGTGTCCACAGCATCAGTTAATGTCTGTGCTGTGACTTGGATGTGTGGAGAATGGCAGGTGCTGCTGTCTCATCCTGAGGGTTGGGAAAGAAAACACTTCCTTGAGTTTAATTAAGCCCCTGGAAAATTAATCAGAACACACCTTACCTGTGCAGCTTCGTAGGTGATGGTCTTTGTCTCCGTGTGGACAATGGGGACTTCTTTTGTGGGAATTTCGCTTTTGACGGCGCTGGACACGTCAGAGATGGTGACAGTCTGTGTCTTCACCAGGGGGGGCTGTGAGATAGGGTTAGAAACACCTTGTGAACACCCAGTTCCCACCTCTACATCCTGACCGTGCTGCTGGCAAGGGTTCTGACACTGATCTGATAAAAGCAAACCAAGGGCAGCCTGGGAATCTTTGGGTTTGAGGCTCTGGAACTGCTCAGAGGGCAGAGACAGGGAGTGAGGATTAGACAGGCAGCAAAATCCTCCAGCCCTTCCCCACCTCTGGTGAGCCCAAACCAGGAATTAGGGGTTTAACTGGTGTGTCACAACACCACGAAGACACTGTCTCCACTGATTCTTAACTTCCTAATTACCAAAAGTTCACTGCCAGCTGCCAGGGGAAGAGGACCCTCATCTGCTGATGCCAATGTCAGGATTAACACCAACCCTGGGCACACAAAGACTTGATCACAACTGAGCAGCTTTATCCTGACTCCAAGTGCAACTGTATTATTAAAAGTCCTTGTCAGATCTTAAACTTTTATTAAATCAATGTCAGACAAAATGGAAAGACAATGAAGCGGGGGGAGAGGGAAAGAGAAATCAGTTGTTCCACCACCTGATGATTATCCAGAAGAAGACAGAGTTAGTTTAGACCCAGTGCTTTCCCAGAGGGCTCAATTTCTGCTCACCATCCACAAACCTGCCAGATGCCACCGTGATCGTTAGCAGGGGAATGGGCACCTATTGAACCAAAAGCAACATCAACACTGAAGCAGGCAAAAATACCCTCCCTGGTGGGGAGCACGAAGGGCACCAGGAAACACGTTGGGACAGTGCTTCAAAGTTGCTCTGCTGTGCTGAGGCTCCAGCAGGAGCTGGCAAAATCCACGAGGAACTAAAATTACAAGGGTTTGGAGCCTTTCTGTGGGGGTGCCACAGGATGATTTGATCCCAGAAAAACAAAGGGCACTGCACTGCAGTGATTGTGTTCAACGCAGAAAGATAAATTGAGAGGGGCTCGTATTTAATGCAGAGATAAATTGAGAGGGGCTCGTGCACAGCGATTGTTGGGAGATTAACCGGGTCATTAACTCCAAGCACGAGTCCAAGCCAAGCAAAGCCAACTCCTCTCCAGGTCCATGGCATCTGCTTGCTGCAGTGTTTGGGTTCCCACTCCAGAGGCAGCCGGGTTTAGGGGTGCAGGAGCTGGGCTCACTACCTGGAAGCAGCGAATGACCATGGGCAGCCCATTGGGAGCATCTGAGTTGTGACACTCTCCACGGGGCTTTCTAAAGGCAAAGCTGTCTTCACCATCCTCTGCCACCTCCTCCTCCTCCTCTCCCCAGGGCTGCCGGGGAGGTGCAGGGCTGGTGGGGGGCTCCAGCTCAGAGAGCTCCGAGTCCTTCTCCACATCCACACAAACCCCCTTTCCACATGTCAGGTCCTCCTCGCTGGCGGGGAGGCTGGGAGCTGCCTCCTCCTCCTCCTCCTCCTCCTCCTCCTCGCTGCTTAGGGAGGAAGCACCCAAGTGCTGGCTGGGAGAAGGCTCTGAGGCAGGTGGCACTGGGGTCTCACTAAAAGCTACCGACTGCTTTGAGCCCTCCCATGCAAAGCCAGAGTTAACACTGCTCCTCTCTGGCACTGCAGCCACATCCTCTTGGGAGGGAAAGTCACTCATTTTCTAAAAAGAAATGGATACACAAAAAAGGCCAGAGAGAGAGAGAGAGAGAGAGAAAGAGAAGTGTTAGGGAGAGCAGGAGGGCAGGAGGCATCAAGGCAAAATATCGCTTTGTTATCAGGTATCATCCAGTAACACATGCAACAGTGAGGTTGGACACTGAAAAACCATGTGATGTACCCAGTGCATTTACTGACACAGCCTTCCCAGTACATTAATAATCCACTCTTCTAAATTTTAAGGAATTAATATGAAAACAACTCCCTGCACCTAAAGGAAGAGCCACCACTAAGCGCTTTTTGTCCGGTTTGGAAACAGGAATAATTTCACTGTAGCAAGTGGGGGCTTGTGCACATCCAAAATTCCCATGTGCAACAAAACTCACCCACTATCCCAAAACCATCCTCCAATTCTGCTTTTAACTCACTGAAATACTTTATACCGTGTTTGAGGTTGCACACAGAGTGAAAAGAATAAGCCCAGAGTTTCTGTGCCTGACAATCCACAGAACCTTGTGCTTTGCTCTTTCCACATCCTGGGAATGCTCACCCCTCTGAGCATCCTCCTGGCTGTTGTAATTCCAGGAGAACTGACACAATGTCATTGTGGCATTGGGAAAACTGTTGTAAGAATATCTACAAGTTAGGAAAGGCTGAGAGAATCAGATTCCTGCTCCTGTTCAGCTCCTTGGCAAGGTCTCACCCAGGTCTTCTGGCATCTCTGGGAGCCCTCGAGCCAGGAGGGAACAACAGTGACAGAAGGCAAGAGTTAAAACAGGAACAAGACAGTGTGCTGGAAATTGAGTTTCTTTCCTTATTGAGGTGGAAATTTGCCTTCAAGGAAAGGCAGAATTAGCAGTTACAGGACCTACAATTTACAGGTATTCAAGCTGTCACATCATCCAGAATCAGGAAAAAAGAGGGAAAACCCCAAGGGATGCTGCTCCACCAATGGCATGACTATCTCTTCTCAGTAATTAACCTCATGGTTGATTTCTGGTTACTTTGTATAGAAACAGCCACATATCTGCTAATTGAAAAACAGGGATTAAATTCTCACAAAAACATGGCAAGTCCATTTTGCCAACTGTAATTCCAATTTTGGTGGGGGTGTTAAGACGAACGGAAACCGTTGCCTCACTTTCTAATAAGAAGATTCCTTGGGCAACTAAAACACTGTAATTTGTGCTTAAATTGTGAGGTCTGAAGCCCGTGGGATATTTGGTACGAGGCATTTTTTACACACCAGAGGTTCTCACCCTGATTGACCTCATCTAATGGCACAACTCGATGGTAGGGTAAGACCAGGAGCTGCTTTATGCAGGAACAAATAGATGCTTTTTTTAGAGTCATTTCGAGAAATGACTCTTCCCTAACTCCTCATGGGTATTTTTCAGTTCTCTGCTCCTTTATGTGGCAGATGGATTAGCTGTAAGGATTTCTATCCATTAGGATTTCCAGTCTCTCGGGCTTCTCTTAAGTTCTTGGGATATTGCTGAGCAAAATGCACTTAATGAGTGAAGGGACAAGGAGCAGCACTGAGATGGTCAGGTCAGACTGTGCTCACAGTGGAGTGTTATTTCTGATCAAAATCCAGTTCCACGAGTCCTCTTCCAAAGGAATATTTGAGGGGAGTCTGCAGTCATGGCAGTCTGCAGCTTCCTCATGAGGGGCAGCTCCGATCTCTGCTCTGGGAGAGCAGGGACAGGACCCCAGGGAATGGCTGGAACTGTGTCAGGGCAGGGTCAGGTTGGATCTCAGGGAAAGGTTCTTCCCCCAGAGGCTGGTTGGGCACTGCCCAGGCTCCCCAGGGCAGTGGGCACAGCCCCAAGGCTGCCAGAGCTCCAGGAGGGTTTGGACAACGCTGTGAGGGCCAGGGTGGGATTGTTGGGGTGTCTGTGCAGGGCCAGGAGTTGGATGGATGATCCTTGTGGGTTTCTCCCAGCTCAGGATATCCATGATTCTATATCCACCCTCATTTGCCCAACACAAGATACTCCACTGCAATATTCCACAAAACAGAATAGAAATGGGGTTATCAGCATTGAACACCCATGCCTTAATCTTGCTTTAAAACCTGAATTTATACACTGCCAATATTATGATCTTCCCTTAATTATATATGCTAAACCTTGCAAATTACTCATGGGATCTTGAGAAGACACAGCACATCTTCTAGGGTTTAATGGAACATGCCTTAGGAGTGAGATTTCCTTACAAAACAGCTGGGGCACTACTCAACCAAGAGCAAGAATAACAGATAAAACAAAGCAGATTAACCAGCTACACAAACATTGAGCTATTTAAGAGACAAAAACCTGTATCCAGTCAAAACATCTTCCCAAATCCCTTTCACAGACAGAGAAAATAATTTGCATTTTGGAAGTATCTTGCATGACAGAGGCATAAAGGAAGGGAAAGCTGGAATGGAGCCTGTGCCAAGCATATCCTGGTACCAGTAGAGCCAAATGCAGCAGCAAACATGCAAGCTGGAAAGACAGAATGAAATCCTGATAAGATCAACTGATCAGAAGCACTTTTTGCCTTGCCTTCCTATTCCACTGGTAAGAAGAGAGAGCAATGGAAAGGTATTTGTTTCCAGATAAAATTATCTCTATAAAACTCCCCCCCTTGGGAATTTCAGCATCTGTTACAAATTCTGATCTTATCAAGATTTATTTTCAATTGCAAATGCAAAAGCATCCCTATATTCAGGGCTCAGATTTGCAGAGGTCCAAGCTCTCCTTGAGACCCAGGAAACCTGAGAGGTGCCTGGGCTGCCAACTACACATTTCCACGGACACAACCCCAAACCAGCAAGGCCTAAATCAAGCACAAAGCAGCCAAACACAGTGTAAATTAAATAAAGGACAGGATGCAATGCCCCAGAAGAAACAAACTGCCCCAGACACGAATGCAACTAAAGCACCACCCTCTAAATACAGACCTTTGTGCACCTGAGGACTCAGCTGAAGCGTTGCAGTGTAAAGTGCCACACAATAACTCAGACTGGGGATAAATTAATAACAGGCTTAATTACATGGTTGATATCAATGCCCAAAAGGATTTGGGGTTTTTTTAAAAGTGTTTTTGTATAAATTTGCCTGTATTTTTTCAAGAACCTGCTGTTTTGCATCAGGATCTATTTGTATGAACCAACTGCCCTGAGCTGTTGGAGTGGGTGTTGTTTTCATGCTGCTGCCTCTCTTTAGAATATTCCATTATTCTCATCCCAAACCATACTCTTATCCTGCAGGAGACTTAAGGAGCGCTAAAGTGGTGCCAACTGCCAGTTACTAAAGATATTTTATAAAAATTAATAAACCCATGAAATTACAGTGCTCACTAACTCCCTACAACCACCGCGTGACACACAAGAGATCCCAGCTGGTCAGTACTTCCCAATCCTGTTCTTTTCCAGCGTGGCAATGGAATTGTGAAGGCTGTTATTAGGTTATCCCCAAACACAGATCCACAGAAGCTCACAGGCTCAGAGTGACCATCTAGGGATGCACAAGGAGATATGTTGCTTTGGCAGCAAACCACACTCACCAGAGAACGCTCCCAGATCAACTGATGCTCAATCTCACAGCTGGCAAAGCACTTGGGTAAAAAGTATTATAAAGCAGAAAACAAGAGAGCCTTATTTTACAGTACCTGCCATTGCCTTACAGAACTGCTTTGCCTTAAAGATAGAAGTTAAAAAAGGTTTAGAAGCTGTTCAACAAACCCTGGCATTGAAAAGGACGGACATTACCTATGGATTTGTGGGCTTGGATGGATCTTTTTAATTGCCATTGATCTGATCACATCCTGACCAGCCTAGTCAGACAACAGAAGGATAAAAGAGGTTTTGACCAAAATTAAAAGTAATGCTAGAAAAGACAAAATGTGCTAGAAGCTTCAAAATTCAAGTCCTGAGCAAGAATTCAGGATATTGCACAACACACAGCAACCACCTCCAACCACTGCATTGAGGACTTGGCAACATGAAACCACATCAAGATCAACACTTAAATTATCAAAATAAGGTGGTTGGGCAGTATGATTCCTTGTTGGGCAGTATGATTCCTCTGTCCACCCATCTCAGGTCCTCTTCCCATCCCTTTTGTGGGGGATGAGTGGCTTCTTATTCCAAATTTCCTCTGCAGAGAACAAACCAGTGGCACTGCAAGAGCTGCCTCTGGCAAAGAGTGGATAACACAGCAGAGTTTATAACTGATATCAATTTTGTTCTGCTGCTTTTTGCTACCCTCATTTCATAAATGAAGTTAAAGCTCTGCTCTGGTGCCAGGCTCGTCCCAGGGAGGAGCAGCACGAGCAGCCAGATCTGCCTTCCTGGGATCCCTCGGGACAGTACAGGACGAGCCAAATGGTTTATCCAGAATAAATAATCTCACCAAAGAAAAGCTGGCAGTTAGAATTAAAAAATTACTCTTGACACAGTCTCTGAACACAACCTGAGCTTCAACCAGCCAAAACCCAACCAGAGGCTCGTGTCGTATCACGGAGCAGACAAATGGTGGTTCGTTAGGAACGTGTTTCTTCACTTACAAAACCCAAAAGGAGCATTTTTGACCTCAGACAGAGGCTCTTGCAGCTGAGTTGTGCAGGATCTGCATCACTTCTGCCCTCAGAACAACTTTCTGCAATTGCTTTTTCCTACCATTGTCTCTGAAGCGAAGAGGGAGAAGGTGTTAGTGTGACATTAAGCATTTGGTAGAGGGCTGAACATTCTGACCTGTCTGCAAGCAAAGCTTGTCTTAAACCAAGCTGGATTTAATCCTCAGTCAAGTTATTCTGGCCAGTTTAAAAGCTCAGAGCTGTGTGTCCCCTTTCCCCAAGAGCACCAAACCCGCACCCAAGAGTGTCCAGGTGACCCAACACTCTGAAAGCCACCAGCAGTGACCCAAGGTCTGATGGCTTCTGGTTTGAGAAAGGAATACAGAGGGTTAGTCCAAGCAATTAAATAACACAGGTTGTTAACACAGCTTTTCTTGTTAA